TAACAAGTGAATTACACCTCCAGACAGAGAACAGTGGAATGTAGCCTTTGAGTCACCTCTTTGAAAGCCACCTGTTCACACTGATGGGCAGAATCACAGTGTCTGAGACAGGAGTCCCCTGTGTTTCTCCTTTGCCAGCAAAGCTATAAACCTTCCTTTCCCTCAAAACCATGTCCTTGTTATTTTATTGGCATCAGGGACAAAGACAGAGCTTTTGTCAACAGTGCTTGGTCTCTCTCTGTCTCTCTCTCTGTCTCTCTCTCTCTTTTAATATCTTTACTTCATTTATTTATTTTTATATGGTGCTGAGGGTTGAACCTAGCGCCTCGCACATGGTAGGCGAGTGCTCTACCGCTGAGCCCCAGCCTCAGCCCAGTGCTTGGTCTCTTGCTGAACATGATTTCTGTAAGAAGATGATGACAGCCTTTTAAAAATCTTCTTTCCAAATCTAATCTTTTAATTCCTTTTTCTCTTTTTATTACCCTTGTTAGGACTATAAAAACATTGAATAAAGTAGAGACAGAACTTTTTGTGTTGTCTTTTTTGTTTTTGGTGCTGGGGCTTAGAACCCAGGGCCTTGTGCACACAAAGCAAGTACTCTACCAACTGAGCTACAGCCCTAGTCCTCTCTTTTGTCTTTTTAAAGGATGCTTCCAAATCTCCATTTGGGATAATGATTCCTCTAGGATTTATCTTTTTTTTTTTTTTTTTTGGTGCTGGGGATTTATCTCAGCAGCACCACTGAGCCATCTCCCCAGCCAAATTTTGTATTTTATTTGAGACAAGATCTCACTGAGTTGCTCAGCACCTTGCTTTTGCTGAGGCTGGCTTTGAACTCATGATCCTCCTGACTCAGCCTCCCAAATCACTGGGATTACAGGCATGTGCCACTGTGCCTGGCTTGGGTTTTATCTTTTGTATTTGTTTTTGTGATGCTGGGAGTTGAAGCCAGGGCCTCAACCATGCTAGGTGAGTGCTCTGCCACTGAGCTATATCCCTAGACCTTTTTTTTTTTTTAATTTTTTGAGACAGGGCCTGCTGTGTGCTGAGGCTGGCCTCCAACTTGCTATCCTCCTGCTTCAGCCTCCTGAGTCACTGGAATTACAGGCATGGGCACTGTTCTCGCCCCAGGACTGATTTTTATAGTTATCTTTTACCAGGCAAATAAATTTTTTTTCTTTCCTTTTCACTGAGTTTTATATTTTACATAATGAATTGATGATTCATTTTTCACACTTACTGAGATTTTTATAAGATTTCTCCCCCCCCCCCCTTTGGGTACCAGGGATTGAACTCAGGGCACTTGACCACTAAGCCACTTCCCCTGCCCTACTTTGTATCTCATTTAGAGACAGGGTCTCACTGAGTTGCTTAGGGCCTCGATAAGTTGCTGAGGCTGGGTTTGAACTTGATATTTTCCTGCCTCAGCCTCCCAAGCCACTGTGCCCGGCTGGGTTGCCAGCTTCTTAACCCACCAATTTAACAGGCTTGTGCCCACTTCAACTCTCTGTCCTGTGGCTGAAGCCAGAATTAGACAGGCAGATAGGCTAGGGTCTGATCCAAAGAATGAAGGGATTGAAATGTTAATTCCTGCAGAGCCCTCCCTCCACTCTTATCAAGAAAATCTGCCCCTAGCTCCTACCTCTGGCTAAGGTAACCTGTTCCAGGGACTGTCCCTCCCTACAAGGAGTTTTTAATTATGCCTTCTTCCTGCCCCATCACTCCACCTTGGCCTCTGCAGCCCACCTGCTTCTCACCTTTTGGCCATCCCACCAAGCATCTCCTGGGGTCTAGACCCGTTTGCAGGAAGGAGAGATAAGGGGAAGAGAGCAGGAGAACAAAGGAAGCCTAGGACTTATAAAAGAACAGAACACTCTCACTTCTTGGGATACCAGGATACCAGCTATGGCCCCCTTCTCCCTCCCAGGAGAAGTCTATGTGACCCCTTTTAAATAAACCCTGTCTTATGTGCTTGCCTCGGCTTGCTTCTCTAATGTTCTTCAACACGTGAGGGAGCAGGACTCATCACTGGTAACCTGCAGTATCATGACTACTGATGCTCAGGGCTTTCAGGGTTTGTTTTGCCAATTTCTGACTTCTTTTGTAGGAAGTGTTGGGCACCATTTCTTTTCTTTTTTTTTTTAAAGAGAGAGAGAGAGAGAGTGAGAGAGAGAGAAAGAGAGAGAGAGAGAAATTTTTTTTAATATTTATTTTTTAGTTTTCGGCGGACACAACATCTTTGTTTGTATGTGGTGCTGAGGATGGAACCCAGGCTACACGCATGCCAGGCGAGCGAGCTACGGCTTGAGCCACATCCCCAGCCCTATTTGCATTTATTTTATGCTAAACTTATTTAATTATTTTATTTATTTATTTTTAATTTATTATTTTTGTTTTTGTTTCTCTGGCTTCTTCCAGGATCTTTTTCTCCTGGTTGAAGAACAATCTGTTCCTTTTCACTGAGGATCACCTACCTGCATGTTGCAGGGGACTCCTGTAGGGGCGAATTTAGCTGGACCCCATAGGACTCAACCTGGGTGTGTTCAAAGTCACATCTTTTGGACACTTGGTGGCTTTCTGGACCCACATACCCTTGATGGCCTGGTGGGTTTCCTGGGTGTCCTTGAAGTGGACACCAAGGTTTGAACCTCTGGATTTGCCTGTTGTGTGGGTGTGTGGGGTTCCAGGGAGCCCTCTCAGGCTGCCACTGGGAGGCAGAGGCTTCTCTCCATGGGCAGCTGGAGGCCTCCTTTCATTTCTTTCAGTGCTTTTGTTTGCTCCTTTGTTTTCTGGTGCTGGGGATGGAGCCCAGGGCCTGGCACACGCCCACTTAGCCTTCTAAAGTGGTTTTTGATGGGAGCAAGTTTTTAATTTAATTAATCAATTTCTGAACATTTTTATGCTCTCTTGGTGAACACCTGTCCTTGTCTCTCCTTTCTAAACAGTGCATTTGGGGTCCTCTCTTGTATGCACCTGTGGGCTGCATTTGGACTGTGTTAGAGCCACTGACCCACGGAGGCTGCTCCCACCCCCTTGACTTATTCTTTTGTAGCATTCACTTGTTTTCTGTGTTTACTTTCTTCCTTCCCTGCCTCTGTGCTGGAGGGATACATGCGTGGACCTCCCCATCCACCACACGGATACCATCTAGACTGTGGGTGCTGGGTTACTGGGCAGGGCTTTCTCTTTTTCTTGGGCGCTACCTGTTTTCTGAAGATAACAGTGGCCTTTGCCTTAATCATTGATTTCCTTTGCTGACTGTATCTCTTGCAACATTTTCTGAAACCGTCCTTTCATTTGGCTGTCTCATGGGTCTGACACTGGCTTTGCCTGAGAATGCGCTGCCTCCTGCTTGAGCCGCTGTTCTGGGGAGGCACAGTCCAGGCTCTAAGTGTCTTCCTCAGCATTTGAAGCTGCTCTGCTGACAGTGTACATGCCCTGTTGCAGGTGTCCCATGCCGATCGCAGGTCTCTTTGTGGGTATGGAAATGTGTGGGCAGTGTAGGGAGGCAGTGTCCCTTCCATAGGGCACTGTGGTCAGCCCTTTAGTGTCTGAGGCCCAAGAGGAGGAGTGGCCACCTAGGCAGGCAGGCAGGGTCCAGGGGACAGGGCGATGGCCTGGGTCCTCAGCCTGAAGCCCCAGTGTTCCTGGGGGCTGTGGAGATCCAGAGCCTGCAGGGGCATGGCAATGTGTGCAGGCAGGGAGCATCTGTTCTGCTGCCACATTTAGGGATCCCTTTAGGCTGAAAGCCACTTGATGTGTGGCTTTAGTGGACCAGGGTCACCTGCAGGCATGGGAGGGGGCTCCAGAGAGACTTGTCAGACAAGTATCTCTGTCTTCCAATGGCAGGGGGCAAAATTTGGCCCATAACAAGGAGCTACTCCCTGCTGGACCTGAAGAGCCCATGGCCTCCTGGGGAACCAGGAGAGACGTCCTCCCTTCCTCTCAGGGTCTGTCTTCTCTCAAATGCGCACCCCCCACACACCTGGCAAGAGGTCCTCATATTCCCAGACTCTTCTAGAAGCAGATTCAGGGTGTCTTAAGCCAGGGTTGCAAGGGCTTTGGGATCACAGAAGGCTCATGGGAGGGGAGACCAGGAGACCCCACAGCTCCCTTTTTCTGATCGGGAACCATGACATAGCAGTCCCCCAGAGACCCACCCACCATACACAGTCCTTAGCCTAGGGACACAGAGAGGCCTGAGGAAGGCATCAGGCATCAGAGACGACTGTCACTCTTTGGGGGCCCAAGCCCGAGCCCTCCAAGTTTGGGGAATGCCCCGAGGGTCTCGGCAGGCCCAGCCTCTCTCCTCCTGTGTGGTCTCTGTCCTGCCTCCCCAGCCTAAGTGCTGTCCACCACCTGGCTCAGCCCACAGGAGGGACCCAGCTGTGCTGGAAGCCAGAGGTGGGTAGGGGTGGGGGGTAGGGGTCCTGGTCCTGGCTGCAGTCAGTGTCCTGCCCAGGTGGCCCCCAAGGAGGTGGCAGACAGAGCTTGGGCCCCTCTTCCTCCATCTTCACCTGCATGTGGAGGTCACTGTGAGGTCGGCATGCCAGGGCCCACCTTCCTGGGCCTCCCACCCTCTCAGACCCTTCTACAGACCTCCGGACAACAAGGAGGCCTTCCAACAGCCTTTCCTTAGCTGAGGTCCCCAGCCCGTGTCTGAGCTTATGGCTAGGAGTCCCTCCAGGCTACGGAGGAGACAACCACAGCTGGGGTGTCCCTGGTCCTTCTGCAGCCCTGCTGAGGACAGAAGGAAGTGCCTGAGGAGCCAGCCTCTGACTTGTCCTTCACGGTATTTCTCTCCCTTTCCAATGCCACACTCCCACACTCGTGGTCTGTGTCCTTCAGCTACAAGGGGAGCAGGGCATATGCCAGGGCTTGCCCCACCTGGCCCCAGCTTCTGGAGAAGTGCTTGGCCACAGCACTCCCCCAACCCCCTCCCCCACAGGGCTGGTGTGCCAGTGCCCACATCCTGTGGCAGAGGGATAAATGGGGCCTGAGGGGACACCCAAGGAGGGAGCAGGACCACCCCAGCCATCCCAGTCCATCCTCAATACTCCTGGCCCAGGAGCTCTCTGGTCCCTAGGATGCTGTGGCTGCTGCTCCTGGTTCTCCCCTGCCTGGGGGGCTCCACTCCCCTGACCCCTGGTGAGTCCTAACCCCACCCTACTCCATGCCTTCCTGCCCCAGGACCCGTCCCCACCCCCAGGGCTCACAGGACCATTCCTGGGGTTGCATGGGCATCATCCACTCGCCAGGAGCCTTGCTGCCTCCTGAGCCCTGGGGAGACCCTTGTCTGGTCCCTGACAGCCCCTCCACGTGCCTCCCCAGACCCCCGCCCAGGACTGGAGCTGGTGGGCATCGTCGGGGGATGCCCTGTCTCAACCAGGAGGTTCCCGTGGCAGGTCAGCTTGAGGTTCTACAACATGGGGAGGAGACTGTGGGAGCATGTCTGCGGAGGCTCCCTCATCCACCCTCAGTGGGTGCTGACAGCTGCCCACTGTGTTGAGCCGTGAGTGGGCCCCACCCATTTCTTTTGCTGGGTGCAGGTGGGCACCAGGAGGGGGCCAAGGGGCCAGGGGTGGGAGGCAGGATTTCTGGGGCCCCTCCCTGGGCTGCAGGGAAGCCTTGGCCCCAGGGTGTGGCCAGATTCCTGGGCTGTTGCAGAGCTTGGCTTCCCTGAGGGCCTGGCCAGCCTCCCTGAGGGGCTCCTGCTCCCCTCTCCCAGGGGGGAGCTGGAGGCTTGTGCTTTCAGGGTGCAGGTGGGGCAGCTGAGGCTCTATGAAGATGACCAGCTGGCAAAGGTGGCTGAGATTGTCCGCCACCCCAAGTATAATGAGAGCCTGTCTGTCAGTGGAGGTGGGGACATCGCCCTGCTGCGGCTGGAGGTCCCCTTGGCTCTGTCTGAGCAGGTGCACCCCGTCATCCTCCCGGCTGCCTCCCTGAGGGTCTCCTCGAGGAAGCGATGCTGGGTGACTGGCTGGGGCAACATCAAGGACTACAGTGGGTATCAGGGAGGCCTTGTGTCCATTCTATCTCCATTGCTGGGGTGAGGTGGGAGCCCCCAGCCCCTGGTGCTCACCTGGCTCCTCCCCACAGCACCACTGCCTGAGCCCTACCACCTGCAGGAGGTGGAGGTCCCCATAGTGGGGAGCCAGGAATGTGACCGGAAGTACCAGAACATGTCCTTCCCAGACATCTCCGAAAGGGTCATCAAGGAGGACATGCTGTGTGCAGGCAGCAGGGGCCGGGACTCCTGCGAGGTGAGGCTCACCCACCCTGTCTCTGTCCTCAAGTGGTCAATGAAGTGGGGACCCAGGCACTCCAGGCAGGGGATCTTGGAGGTACTGAGTCTGGCCTCTCCACAGGGTGACTCTGGAGGACCCCTCGTCTGCTTGTGGAACTGCACTTGGATCCAGGTTGGGGTGGTGAGCTGGGGCCACAGCTGTGGTCATGCCGACCTACCTGGGGTTTACACCCGTGTGATGAGCTACGTGTCCTGGATCCATCACCATGTCCCCCAGTTTCCTGGATGCTAGACAGGCCAGGACAGGGCTATATGATGGTGGCGACCCCCGTCTTCCTTGTGATGCCTCTGCTTCTCCCAGTTCTACATTCTCCCTAACTTCCTCACTCTTTTTAGCACTGAGACCCCTGCCCTCCTGGCCCAGAGTTTCCTGGACTTCCCTGAATCCCGGGAGAGAGGGGCTCTGAGCTGGTGTCTCTTAAAGTGTGGTGGGTGTGGATGGGTGGCAGGACCCAGGCCTCCTGCTCACCCTGTCTCCCATTAAAATATGCATTGTCTAAGTGATCTCTGTTTGGACTTGGAGCCCAGAGGTGGACACTGGTGAGCCAGCAGAGTGGCTGTCCTTGGTCAGTGTTCCCAAGGCCACAATACTGGCAAGAGGAAGGCTCTGATAGCCTCGATTCACCTTGTGACCCTTGGCCTTCAAAGGGAGGCAGACCCACAGTGGGAACAGTCCTGGGCTGCACATCCACTGGCCTGTTTGGGCAGAGCTTGGCTTTGGAGGACCTACTCGACCTGGCACTGCAGTCCCTACGCAGTGGTGTCAGGATACCCAAGCGGCCATTCCAGTTCTAAAGATGGGGATGCTGACTTCACTGTGGTACTCTACAACCTCCTACCCAGAATCTGCATTGGGCAGCATCTAGCTGAATTCAGTGGGAGGGTCGGGTCCCCACTGACATCTGGGAGGAACCCTCTCCCATGGTTGATGGCTGAGTCCTGCAAAGTTCATAGTGAATTCTGAAACCTCAGTCCCAGTGTGGTAGCACTGGGGAGGGAGAGAGGGAATTAGTGCCCGTGTAACAGGGACCCCAGGAAGCTCATTAGAGGACATGGGAGAAGAAGGTGCTGTCTATGAGCCAGGAAGGGGCCCTCGCCAGAATGTCCATGGACACCTGGACCCTGACCCAGAGTTAGTAAGCCACTGAGACCACAGCAGGGGTTGGGACAGCCTCAGCCAGGAGGTGACTCCAAGCTTGGGAGCTGGCTTTCAAGTTGGGGGACCTCCCCTGCTTCCTGGGACTGGGAGGGGACCACGCAGGTAAAAGCCCACAGATTTCCAGCAGTCAAGTGAGTGAAGCAGGTCTCAGAAGACCTTGTGGGGCAATGCTTAAAAGCCCACAGAGACAGTGGGGGTGGCTGCCAGGGGTAGGGATTAGTGGGGGGTTGGAGGGCACAGGCATTTTTTGGGGGAGTGAATGCTATAAAATCAGCCCTGGAGATGCTGCACAGCCCTGCGAATGTGCTGAAGCCCACCGCACTACACACTAAGTGGGTGGATGGTGTGAGTCTTATCTCAATAAAGCTGCTAAAAAAACAAATAAACTTTAAAAAGTCCACAGTTTTCATTTTACCCCCCAACCCCACGTTTTTTCCTTCTTTTTGTGGTGCTGGGGATTGAACCTAGGACCTTGCACATATTCGGCAAGCACTCTACCACTGAGCTACATTTCCAGTCCTTTTTATTTTTAAATTTTAATTTGGGACAGGGTCTGGCCTTGAACTTGTGATCTTCCTGCCTGAGCCTCCCAGGATGGCAGGCCTGTGCCACTGTGTCTGGGCCCAGCTCTTCTAAGGTTGCAAAACTAGACACATGTCCCTAGAAGCTGCTGAGCACCTGAGTCCACAATTAGGTCTGGGCCTCCTGGACCCTTGGACATGACACATGGGTGTCCAAGGCTCTTGCCCTGGAGGCAGGGTCTGCCGCAGAATGGTACTGAATGCTGGTGCTAAGTTTGGGGAATCCCCCTGTGGGGACTTTCTGGCTTGTGGGTCAGTGACTTGACATGGCCAATGGGGGAGCCTTGTGTGCAGGATTCCTGGGGTGGAGGTGGAGGTATTCACAGTTGGGCGAGGGCCCAGATGGCAAGAATAGGATCGCCAGGGGAGGCAGGGCCACCAAGGAATCCTGGTGCCAGCCAGCAGTGCCCTTGTTCCTCAGCTCCTTTTCAGTGTCTGGCAAGGACCTGTCCCCAGAGCCGTGGAGCCCACTGGGGCTCTGAGGAGCGGACCTGCCCAAGTTTATTTCCAAACTGTAGGCCCCCACCTCACATCTCACCAGCCCTTGGTGACTAGGCCCCAGGAGACAGCTGAAGGGACAGGAAGCCCTCTTCTTCCAAGGGCAGTTGTCTAGTGCCCCTGGAGAGGCAGGAAGAGTGTAGGAAGTGGGTCCCTGGCTCCAACTCACACAGACCTGGCTCTCTCACTATGGGGCCCTGTTTCCCAGGTCCTCTGGTGTTCTGGGCTCCACGTGGCTCGTCTGGGCCCTGGGGCTCTCTGGGGCTGGGGTTGTTGGTGGCTCTGTGTGGAGGATGCTGCTGTCCAGGCTTCCAGGGCTGGTACCAGGCCCCACTTGCACTGTGTCCTTGTCTCTCCTGCACCTGGGGTTCCGTGCCTGTGGGTCCTGGCCCCATTCAATGTTCCCGCTGTCCTGGGACCTGTCCCCATCTCCAGGCCTGCACTGGTTTGGGAGGAGTGGTGACCCCACATGTGGCTGGGGGGCTCACCCTGGGTCCTGGGAGGCACCAGGGCGGCTGTCAGTGGTGAGCTCTGGGCAGGGCCCAGTGTTGGGGTTTGTGGGCATCGTGGGGTCTTGACCTCCAGGAGAGTGGCCCTGACAGGTCAGGATCTTCGACAAAGATCACTGCCAGTGGGAACACATGTGGGGACCCTGTGTCGGCCCCTGAGGGCACTGGCTGCTGCCTGAGCAGCAGGAGTGACTCGCTGTCCACCTCTCCTAGGGTGCGAGGGTCTGTGGAGTAGGGGCAAGCAGAGGGCTGGGGGATGGCTGAGCCCCACTGAAGATGCCACCGCCTGTGCTCTGCCCTTGCCTAGCTGTGGGGGCTCACCTCTGTGTCCTTCTTGTCCCTTCATAACCTGAGGCCTCCTGCTGGTCTCTGGGGAGGGACAGCTCCAGCAAGGTCCTCTATGCCTCCCTCATTGGGCACCTCTGACCTGGGAAACTCCCCAGCCCCAAGGGAGACAGCTTCATCTGCTGCCCAGCTGCCAGCCCCAAGCCCAGCATAGGAGTCACCTTGGGGCTGGGTAGGAGGCTTCTGGGAAACCACTGGTGAGTGCAGGTGGCATTCTGAATCAACTGGGCCACCTGAGTGCCATCAGGATCCCAACCATGGGGTTTACAGGAGGAGAACTGATTGTGCAATTTACCAAGGGACAGAGCAGAGGCAAATGGCATAGGATATACCCAACAGATGAGGAAAAGGATTGGAATATTTGGTTGACACATTCAACCACATATTTGGATAAAGATAAGGCCTTGACAAATTCGCAGGATGTCACCAAAGCCTGCAGCAAACGTTCCGCTTAATGGTGAAATGCAGGTAGCCCCTCCTCTGGGCCAGGGACCCGCAGGGCCTGCCCCCTCCTTGCCTCTGCCCCACGTGGGGCAGGTGACCTGGAGCTACAAGCCAGCTGAGAAACCAGGGGAAGGTGTAGGCCAGGCCAGGAAGGGGCCAGGCTGTCCTTGCCCAGGACCAAGCAGCAGTCTTCCTAGACCTCCCAGGGTACCTGGGACACTGCAGAGGGGCTGACAGTGCTTTCCCAACCAGAAGACTGCATGCCACCTGGAAAAAAGTCTGGCAGAGCAGGCGAGGGTTCACAGAGGAGCCAGCCAGCCAGACAACTTGGACTAACTATGCCCCATGTGGGTGGCCATGGACAGGGAGACTCAGCGTCCTGGGCTACCAATATTAGGGATCGCTACCGATTATTCCTAAAGTGTGACAGCTGAGTCTTTACGTGTTTAGGGCAGCTTTGTGCAAGTAGACTGTTACACCAAACTGTTGATTAAAAGATAATTAATCTGGCTGGGGCTGGGGCTCAGTGGCAGTGCGCTTGCCTAGCATGTGTGAGGCACTATGTTTGATCCTTAGCACTGCATAAAAAAACTAAACAAATAAAGGCATGCTGTCCATTTACAACTATAAACAAACAAATAAACAAACAAAAAACAATTAGTTCATATTTTTTAAAAAAGAGAATTAATCTTTGGTTATAAGACTCAATTTGATAAGAGAATTTTTGAATAAATTGTATTTGGTTGGCATGAAAAATTTAGGAATTAAAAATGCTTGGCTGGCCCTGCTCTGCATCTCCTTGTTATTTTTTTGTGGTACTGGGGATCAAACCCAGGGATTCCAGCATGCTGGACAAACGTTCTACCACTGACCTACATCCCTAGCCGCTGTTTCTTTTTTTCTGCCACAGGCTGTCCTGCTGAAGTTATGTAGAGAACACTGGGCTGTCTTCTGGACAGGAAGAAGTCATGAGGCAAGGACTACAGTTATTTTTAAAGTCTATACTGCGTGGTTGCCTATACTCACAGCCCTCTCACAGGCTGAGGAATGGAGATCAAGGAGCACATGGCATGTCTGTTGTGACTACCGGGATTATAACCAATCACAGGGTTACATGACTCTGGTTACAATGTCATCACCAATGGTATTTGTTCCCCTATTTGTTAAAGAAAGTTGCTTTTGCTCACTCAAATCTGTAAAATTTACATTTATAAATTGTACATTATAAGATCTATAAATTTTACATGTGTCATAAAAAATAAAATGTATGGCCAGGTACAGTGGTGCACACCTGTAATCCCAGTGACCCAGGAGGCTGAGGCAGGAAGATTATTGCAATCTCTAGGCCAGCCTGAGCAATTTAGCAAGACTATGTCTCAAAATTAAAAAAATAAAAAGGCCTGGGGCTTTCGCTCAGAGAACCCCTGGGTTCAATCCTCAATAGAAAGAAGAAAAAAAGAAAGAAATCAAACCTATCTGCTCACATGAAAGTGAGCATCCGTCCTCTCAGCCCTGCCCTGCAGCCTCACCAGCAGAAACAGCCTCTCTGTATGAGTCCTATTTCCAGCAGGGAGGTACTTAAGCTGTTGGGCTAGTTTCTCCTTTGGGCCAGCTGTGGAAGTAAACTCAACACCGCGCACGAGTCAGTTTGAAGTGGAAAGCACAACTCCCAGTCCCCTTGGCTCTGAGGTAGACGCCCGGATACCCAGGGTGGTCTGGAGGAAGGCTTTCGGGAAGGCAGCCCACCCAGCAGCAATTCCCAGAGGAAGGGCGCTTGGGCGTATGAAGGTGGCACATCTCCCCAGCAGCACCGCAGAGAGCTTAGCTGGGTGGAAGACAAACAGCCTCACGGGCCTCCTGCCACCCACTGCCATAGGCTCCAGTCCTGCGGGAATTTCTTGTGTTTTTGAGAGTTTCTCTTTTTTATCGGTGTGTTGCAGTTGTACATGTTGGTGGGATTTATTGTTA